CTCTCTTTCTCTCTCTCTCTCGGCCAAGAATTTCGACGAGAACGCAGTGATTATGCTCGGGTGAAAAACACGGCCAAGCCAAGAAAGCAGCAAGGGTATAATTATTATCGAAAACGGGTAGCAACAACATATTAATTAACCAGCCACTTCCCGTTTTCGTTCCTTTTTTCTTTTTTTTTTTTTTTTTTTCTCTCTTTCCTTCGCCACGCTATTCGATAAAATCCGACAGCCATTAAAAGGCGCAAAAAGAAAAGATTGGAATTGTTCTGAGGGAAGATCTTCTTGGAAGAGAGATATGCAGATTCGAAATATTACACGTGTTGCTTCTTCATCCTATTTCCATAGGATTTAATAGGATCGTTGATTTCAACGATTTCTCTAATAATAAAATTATAACGTTGAGATTCGTAATTTGGAAATTCGTTTAACGAAAGGATAAAATGTCTTGAAGGATATTGACGAACGAAAAAATAGGAAGGAAAGGAGACGAGAAACGACGAGACACGACGTATTTCAAAGCGCTTCCGTCCTCTACGGGGGTGGATCAGAGGCAAAAGTACGCCTGCCCCGTAATGGCTCTATAAATTCACGGTAAATTTGCATGGGCTATAGATCGAAGAAATTGCTCGAGCAACTCTCGGGGAAAAACGGATCAACGTCTTCTGATTTCACGTAATCGCTTCTTTCGAAATGTTCCTTCCTCGAGCATCCCTCGATTACGTTCGAATACGAGATGAGAAAGGAAGAAAACAGAAGAGAATGGAAGGAAAATCGAAAGACGTAGAGTATAGTTTCTAGAATTCGTAACATCGAGACAAAAGATACGGAAAAATTGAGAATCAAAAACGTAAATCAATATAAATATAATCATAATATATATTCAAATATTTCGATTCAAAACACTTGAAACAAGTAAACAAGTGGATCCCTTACACGAGAATAAATTACAATTCGAATCAATTTTATTATTAAAAATGCTAATAAATATTCAAATTCGTTATGAAACACCTTATACAACGATTTTCTACCGTATAACTTTCTCCTTGTCCTCGGACAAATAATTTGCTCAATTTTTCCCACTGCTTCGAATTTTCCTACTTCCTACTTCCTTCAAATCTCCACACGCTCGTCTCGAGTTAACGTATGAGATATTAGCATAATCTCGATAGAAAATCAATTCCATCGCGGAGCGATTGCAATACCAGGAAAGGGGACGAAGGCAACGAGATCGCACGAACGTTTCGGTTTCCTCGGCACCGATCGCACGCAGCCGAGTATCTTTGTTTGCGGGCCTTGGTAAATCTGCGTATTATTAGCCAGCGTTATTGATTTATTATTTAATGGTCGACGGGCGCGCAAGCGCGGGCTAAATCGGGGTTAACTGCTCATTTGCCGGAGGTGCATTATGGTTTCTGCGTTTATGGCTCTCGCGGGAAAGGAGCACGTGAAAGACGAGGGAAGAATGGAGAGCTCTCTCTCCGCGAGTAACTCCACTCCTCCTTTCCTCCTATTTTCTCCGTCCTGCAAATAATATTCAGCGCCGCTCTGAAAATAACGTATTGTTCGCAGCATCGTTCCACTATTTACGTATGTACACTTTCGCTGATTTACACGAGTTTGCGTTTTATCACGCGCCTGTGACGATAACTCGTATATTATTTCGAAAATACCAATGAAATTAATAATTTGAAATAAAAGAGAGAGAGAGAGTATTGCACGTAAAAATCGAATGCGATCGATTTTGTAAATTGTGAATAATATATTTAACATTTTTGAAAATAATGAAAGTTTATTTATTTATTTATTTTTCTTTCGAGAATAATATAGATGAGATCTAATTTAAATAATATTAAAGAAAAATTGTTGCCTTCGCGAGTTTACATTTCACAAACAGCTCTTACGGCTGAGGAAACGAAGATTAAGAAAAAGAATCAGATATTATCATCAAGATACCATAGTGCTAATTACGGTAATTAGCACTAATATGAATAGTATTAAGATTTGATATATATGTGCTCGTTAAACGTAACACAGAAGCTATTTCAGCCCCCCTTCTCTCTCCCCATTCCAAAGGTACAAAGAGAAGAGGGTAAACTAGTTCCATTCCATTTTCAATTTGCAATTCCTTTCTAAATAAAAGATATAAGAAAAATTTTTTCCCATCTTCGTTACGTATCTCGTTTACCATTTTATTACTTATTTATTGCAACACGACGAGATTAATAAACGAGACAATATAAAATAGGGGGAGGTGTGTAAAGGACGAGGGAGAGAATCAAGGTCTTTATAAATAACTCCACACTCCTCCATCTATCTATCTCCTTCTCCTTTCTTCATTTATGTATCTTGTAACGTTACACTCAAAATATTACGGTATTCACCACGCCGCTCATTAAAGTATCAAGTTGCATAATTCATTATGCAATTCGCCAAAGCTTCCCGTGAAAATTGTGTTAATAATTTTAGCGTGTATAATATTTTACAAACGTGTTTATATAGAGCGTTATATACACACGAAGAGGTATAGACCGGTTATTATAAAACGCTAGCGTAAAGTAATTGGACCGTCGCCGATCTATGGAGTTGGCGAAGTTAATTTGCATTCGGCCGGCCTCCCCGGCTTGAAATGTGGCCGTTGAAACCGGTAAATGACAGGTTGACAGTGTTACAAATTTAATTCCTCGATGACAGTGGTGAAAATCCTAGGACATAATAAATTCATATCGCGAACCAGATTTAACGCGATCAAACTCCCGAAATCATCCCCGGACAAAAACGCGCGCGCGCGCGCGCGTATTTTCGTCGCATCCGCAAAAATACTTCCGTTATTCAATTGTAATGGAACGTAATGGAATAATGGAATATTATTAATAAACCGATCTATTAAACACGATTAATATCAAATCATATTCAATTTTCACAATCGCTTTTCACGCGCATCGATGAAACTATTCCGAGCAATTTCTTTTTTTTCTTTTTTTTTTTTTTTTTTTTTTTTTTTTTTTTTTCTTTTTGTCACTTGAATAACACAGAATCCAACAGAATCGAATTCTCGATGGAGAGAAAATCCAACGTTAAATTCGAAATTGGTCATCGATTCAATTTTACTTGCTTTCATCGATGAAAATAATTTCCTTTTGCGAAAAAATTTACTGGTTAAATTTCTTTTCTTTTTATCAGAGATTTTCTTTTTTTAGAAGAGATACAAAATTCAAAGATTTTTGGAGAAACAACAGAAGTTCTCGAATTTTTGAACTGTTCTATTCGATCGAAATCGAATTATCATTGGTCAATTTTATCGATAATATTCAAGAAAAATCCACCGGTTAAATTCTCTATTTTATCAGAGGCTTTCTTTTTTTGAGATACAAAATTCAAACATTTCGAATTCTGAAGAAACAACGATGACAGAAGTTTTTCAACTCTTGAACTATTCTATTCGGAATCGAATTGTCATCGGTCAATTTTACCGATGAAAACATTCAAGAAAAGTTTCTTTTGCGTTTCGATACCGAGAATCCATTTCAGAATCGAATTCTCAATGGCGAGAAAATTCCTCCTCAGAGACTTCTCTTTTTTTTGAGATACAAAATTCAACGATATCGAATTCCGGTGACAGAAGTTCTTGAACCCATTGTTCCGTTCGAACGAAATCGAATTGTCTTCGGCGGGTAATCCCCTCGCGGAGGGGTGGAGGAAGGATCGACATGAAACAACCGAAATGAAATTTTCTTCGCGAATGCGCCTAGTTCATGCGACTTCTCCTAGGAGAGATGGGTTATCGCGTATTAAAAAGCCGAGTCACGTCCCTGTGGCGCGCGGCATCACGCTAGAGTTCACGCTGGAGGAACGGTTTGTTAGCCGTCGAACGAGGACGAGCCGAACAATCGCCGATGAATATAGGAGAACAGGATTCATCGGCTCCAAGTTCAACGGGGATCTCGTCCCAATTCCGATACAATGCGCTCCTGGCTTCCCTCTGATGATGGGGAAACGTCTTGCGGATCCTTTCGTTTCCACGATCCCGAATCGTGGAAAGGAAAAATCGTGGAAAGGAAAAATCGTGGAAAGGAAAAATCGTGGAAAGGAA